TATTATATACACATACTTCATAATTTATTGCAAATACAGAAGGTAAAATGTAAAAATCACTCAAAGGACATTAATTAAACGCTTATTATACAATGTTTATCTTTAGTCGGTAATTTTCAATCGAATTTGACGCGAACGTACATGAATTAAAAATTATAGAAGCGTACATTACTATTTGTAACTAATATATAGGTAGTTGACCCGAATCATAGCCCCACTATCAAATGGGCTACATGAGAAATATTAAAAACTGTTCCATTGATTTTTTATGAATGTACCAGAACGAAATATAAAAATTTGAACGTTATGTTTGTTACATCGTCATTTTGCATAGAGGCAAAAAACACAGACACAAGCAATAGAAAACTATAAACGCTGTGAGAATTATACTTGCAACCTCATATTCGTATTGTATTAGCGTCATTTAGGCGGGGTCATAATTCATAACAATTATTTCCTAACACAAATCATTAATACCGTACAGGGGAACGTCGATTATCCGAAATAATAAGGAAATAAATTCATTCCAATAACCGATTTTTTATATTATCGGACAAGGAGAACCAGATATGTAAACATTGTTACATACATACAATCCGCGAAATTTCCATAGTTCTATACTTATTCGTTGGCAATTTTGATTCATTTATAAAAAAAATGAATAGGTTCTAAGTATTTATATATATATATATATAAAGCATCTGAATGGCTTCAAGATAAAATATCTTTTTATTCAAGTGATTAAATTGAAAAGTATGTGTTTTTTATGAAGGGTTATGCGAAATTTCTATACTTTCATTTAATATAATATAATTAAATTTATAATAATAATTATAATAATTATTTATTTTACAAAATCCAAATGTTTTATTTAATAATTGTATGTTAATATGGTATATTGTAAACGTTGTATGGTAAATTATTTTTCAAAATAACCTCAAATACTTCTAATTATATGGTTTGTAACATCGATATATCTTGTAACGTAGGAAACATTTACAGTTCGCACGCTTACACTGCGAGATGTGAATTCGCCTCATAGAAAAACAAAAGGAAAGTGATTTGTGGTTTTAGAATAAAGCGTCGTTACAATCGTAGTGTACTAAACTAAATTCACGCGCTGTTATTATTTTCCATAGATGTGTTCCAAAAATCTTAACAGATAGTCTTGATACGCGAGTAATTCTGGGTGAGATGGCCCAAACTTATTTACATTGTAAAATATCTATATTTTTAATTGTTTTTAGTGATATATTGAATCATGCGCAGAAACTATTTACCACACTAAATACTATACTTATTGTTAGCATTCAAATTGCACGATTACGGTTTAACACGGTTGAAGAAGAGCGGAGGAACTTTCATTTACACGGCCCTTGCATTTCACTTACACATGGTCAGCTCGGACAAGTGCAAAAATTACATTAATTTTTTGTTTGTTTCGTGAATTACATATACAATCTTGTTGCTATTATTAATTTTTATTCAAAAATATTAACTTTATATTTTACAAAAATATAAATAATACTGTTTCGTATGGATTTATTAAATTTATTACATGTGTATTTCTTTTTAATCTGAATTACGAACTCGAATTACACAATTTTAATTTACACGGCATTTTCGAGAAAACAGTCTGCCATGTAAATCGAGGGTTAGGCGTGTTTACGCGGTAGTTTTTACGCGCAATCTTAATTTATGCGAACTGAATTTAATATTTAACATCAAAATAAAATGTACTTTCATTTTCTGAAATGTCATTATTATTATTTCTTTTGTTTGGCTATGTGAGATAAATATGTATTTCTAGAACTTACATCAGCTTCTCTTTCTAACATTTTGTTTTCTCTTGTACCTGCAGACTCTATTTACGCGATTTTTATTCACGTAAAACGAATCCACGTGGAACGGATTTTCACGTGAATCAAAGATCAGATGTAACTATTCTTCTTACATGTATTGACTTTCCCAAATATATTTTGTTTTTGTTAGGTATTAATGATATATATATATATAAGTAAAAGTTTAATTAAAAGAGCGGTCTATTCCACCCTGACTTACTCTGTTACATGTAGTGATAATCGGTCCTCGAAATTACCGGTGTTCGAATAATCTACGTCCCACTGTGGTTATATAAATCGTTCGGTTCCGATGCGTTATTTACCGGGACATTGCAAGTATTCAAAGTTAAGCAAAGCACGAATGTGTCGTGGTTCAGTCGCAACACGTGTCGATATCGAATTCGAATCGTTGGATTGCATTAGGGAAATGCCCGTAATTCCTAGTGATCACGTTGCGGCGTTGGCGATCGTAGCACAAACATTGAACACGACTGAATGTTTCTCTTTCCCTCTGGGGCGAATTTGATCGTTATTTGTGTTCGGAGCTGAACGATTTGTCAGTGATTGCACAGGAGGCTTACGTAGCCGGTTACCGATGCTGATACCGACGCCGACAGGACAACGGTTTCCACGGTAGCGAACTCAACGCAGAAAGAGACCAAACATTGCCCACCCTGCTACCTTTTCAACCTCGATTCCCACGATATCCAGCTTGACCATTTAAAGAGAGTTATGCACCAGACTGTAAAAGTTCTCGACACACTGCCAGATATATCCCTCTCCTTCCGTCCAATTACCATGCGGTACTAAAAGCCTTCGTTCATCCGAAATAGCACTCTTGTGCGCCCTCGAGTCTCACCTCAGCGCTTATCTTGCAACGCCTAAATACAATCTTCCGGGTGTTGCCCGTTGCCAGGCGAAACTACTGGATTTATATTAAAGCTACTAATAGCACGACCTCTGCAATTACTGCTCGGCCCGAGTGTCTGCCGGGTTGGGTGACCGGTATTATCGCCGCCACGTTTCAAACGCTCACGAAGTCGTATATTTCCCTTCGTTCCTATCACTTTCATTGTGATCTGCAAGATACCTTGAACGAACCGTTAGCTCTTGAAGACAGAGTTAACGCAGCGTAAAGTAAGCAAGAAAGGAATACTACATTCTTTCTAGAGTATTTTCTAAAATATAAGTGTGTTCTGATATAAGTAGTATACATAAGGCTGGTCCACAAAATTCATGATACAAATGGGGTCAGGGAAATTTTATGGCTTGAAATAAAAGGAATATCAAGGATAACGATATTACTTATTAAGCTTCGTTCTCGAGAAAAAAATGTGTTTCACAATCAATCGAATAAGCATGCACTTAATACTAGAATTATCAAGCAATTAGAGTGAAGTATTTTCAATTTTTTTATTAAAATTAGAACAATAGTTTTCTTGAGATTCGAATTGTCTCCTAGTTTTATATATGTACAGATCAACAAATGTAATTAAAAATTTCGCAAAAACATTTTCATAATTTAAATACTTGCGAAATAAAAATTCTCAACTGAGTCAATTTGACCCGTCCGATAGTTTTAGTGATAACTGTATAGGGCGAATCATTCAACCGTGCCATCTGAATTTACTTGAAATATATGGTTCGAACAAAAGCTATGCGGTATCAATCAAACCAACTGTATTTTCTACTCTCGATGAGAAACAACTTCTGCCTAAAACATTTTTTTTACCCAACAAATAAACTTGGTGCTACGATTAAACGACTCACCCTGTATACTAACAGATATTACGGATATACTGTAGGCTGTTGTTGTAATCAGTTTTGAACAAGATACAATTTCGGGCATTATTTGTTATGAAAATTCATTAGGATATTCTATAACGAACGTAATTCTCATAGAATGTTCATATTTAAATGTATGTACATACACTTACTTAACTACATGTTAAAGAATAATAAGTACATTTTTAATGCGAAATGTGTGAAATAAAGACATACATTATAAATTTAATTTATTATATTTAAATTTTGTAGGTAATATTTATATTGCATATTGCATATGCGAATTTATAAACATTTTTGCATTTTTCCGGGTTCATTGTAACATACTCTTTTGTTGTAAGTATTTTAATTTCATGAGAAAAACTGTTCATTGTAACTATTAACTCTAATTCCAAATTAAAATTGCGAAAGAGGTCAGACATAGTATCTACGTAATACCTGTCGTTCTGTAAGATACTATGTGATTAATTTTAAAAGATAGTTTAATTAGATTCATTTTAATTTATCCATCAAAATATAAATTAGCATTATCCGCTAATAATTCCATTCTTCTTCGTCTGTACTTCAAACTGTTCTATCAATTGTGTTATAAAAAGCGTCTTATCCACTATTTTGTTTTACATCACGTTTTTTAACACGTTTTTGTATTGAAAGGTGAATTTGTTTTTTTTTATAATCTTCATAAATAATGCTGAATTTATGATGGACCGTTTAGTATATTACAAAGTTCAAATAAATACTACTTGTTAATTATAAATTACTTTATTAATCGTTCATTACTGTATTTACGCCGGCACTATAATTTCTATTTCGCTTGATCGGGTGGTTCTATTAATTATAAGTACTTTTCTCCATCGGATGGCATTATATTAGAAGAGTGGTTTCAAAATTATTTCTTTTCTTATTTCCGTTAAAACTGTAATTCAAATTTACATATTTCAAACAAATTAAAATATATTCTTCTTTTCTTTTATTACTATTTATACTACTCCTTTAACTGTATTAACTCCTTGCTCTGTAATTTATATCTAAACTGTGACCCATCACTACTTTATTATTAATAATTTATTGAAAATGAAATGAAAAAAACGAACTGAATTATATTTATGTTTGTTAAATTTTATTTGGAGTCTTCGCCGTGAATCTGACAATATTATAGGGCAAGGGGTTAATATCAATCACGTAAGAAAACATAATATGTTATCTCCTTAAAAATAATGTCATGGGAGTAGCTTTTCGGAGAAACAACGTATATCATATTTCATTGGAAATAGTGAATTATAATTAGTATATTTAACAATTGTCGATAACGATGTCTTTCAAAATATTTAACTCTTTAGAGAACGTAGAGAAAATAGACACAAAGTTACTCACCAGCTTTCGAGGCAACACTATGAAGGCACAAACACATGCATAATAAACAGCAGAACCACGTGACTGTTGTCCTCGCCTGAAAAAAATAACATAGGTGAATATTAATATCATACCAACTAATACGCTGGTTCACAGAAGCACTTAAAATTAATGTATCTGTAATAGAAATGAACATCTTATATATGTATTATTCAATTTCAATAAAATCTATGTCCATTGCTCTCACATATATCCCAAGCATTGTACATACGGAAATTTCAAAACATCTACTATCCGGTGAGTACATTTCCAGTAAAAATATAACGACTTTAAATATAATTGTGAATACATAAGTAGGTAATGGTCTCGCTGTGACCTTCTCAATACTTTAATTCATTTCTAATTTAAATCATTTAGAATTACGTTATCGCAAAGACATTTGATTACACGTTACATTAATGATAATTAAGCGGAAATAATTTTACTGTAGATACGAGGGTAGACCAATACCTTTCATGAGGTGCCATGGCATAATATGGTGCAACGAACCTCAATTGAAAATATACATAATTAGTTATGGCTGGCGAAACACGTACGCCAAGTTTATAGCACAATCACCATATTCATAAGCAGTATACCTAATGATGGTTGGTAAAGATAATTTGATCAAAATTTTCATAAGATCATATAATGAATAAAAAAAATTAGAATATGCAAGAACAGGCATGCCTTTATTTTGGCTATTAAGGATCTTATTACCAACAATACTATTAATATCTATCTTTTCTGCATAATAATAATAATTAAATCAGATACATATTAAATATTTACAACAATTATTTCGTCGACCAACAAATATTTAATACGATAATATACATCTTCATTCATTTTAATGCCCTTTATTTATGAATTTAGGTCACATTATACTGGAATTCACAAAATTAGAAATAGCAAGTACCAAGAACAAACAATAACCGAGCCAATAAATGTTTGCCATGGACTTCTCTAACAATAAGAGTGATGCTATCTACAAACCAATTTTTGTTGCATTTTCAACTTTTTTCTCAAATTACAAAATAAGTTCGTGCCAGAAATAACAAATATAATACATATTATTGTCCATAAGAGAAAGATCCCTCCAGCTCCAATATAAAGGGAAAAATAATCATTGCATTAACAAGTGCTACTTTATTTATAAGTTTTTCTCTGGTGTCACAAAATAGGTATGTATTATAAAATTGACACAGATTTTTTAGATAATGTTTGTAATTAACGCCATTTCACCGACTTGCGTACTTCCCAGTAATCTATTCTCACTAACATAGTTATACCTTTAAAGATAAACCTACAATTATTCACAAAAATAACAGTTCTTTTACTTGGGGTAACGGCATCTAATACGGAACACCGGCTTTGAACAGCTTGGCAAAACAAAGGATATACATTTTTTTCAATGAAACCTGCATCAGGTCTCGGAGAAATTAATAAACATTCATAAACTGATCGATAACAATGCTAAAATTTAAATAACTTCAAGCTATGGTAAAAATGTAAATCAAGTCAAAAACCGCGATCTGAAAAAATGGCTCCTAATATCCAACACCTAGGTAATTTGTAAATAAAACTCATTTCTATCACGAAAAATGAATATTTATGCAATTAAAAAAGATAGATAAACGAATTTTTCATTTCTTTCAACCTACATTATGTTAATTTTTTTCTTTTTCTTTCTTTATTCATTATATATGAATAACACATCGGGACCACTACATTTTTCGGGAAAACAATGCATTGGACATATTTTTTCTCTTACTATCATTTTTGCAATTGCCACTATCAAATAACAGTATAACATAATAATATGTAATAAAGAATGTGCACCCAATATGGGACGTGTTCCACATTAGGAATCCACGTATTCCGATATAAAAATAACTACTATTCTAAGAAGAAAATAAATTTACAGCAACTTGTTTTTGAATATTAAAAAACAAACATGTTCAATGATAAATCATGAAAAAATAAAATTTTGTAGACTATCTATAATAAGAAATTTGACTGTTTAACTCGTTTTTCAGAAAATTTAACATACTACCGAAAACCATAATGCTTTCATTCAATAACAAGTTCTTAATTTATGTTCAACTAATAATATGATTGTTTTCTATTATTAATGAAGTATTTCTCATGGTAAGTGACATATCAAGCTATTCATTTTCCGAAATATTGTAGTGTTCCATATTAGGCGCCGTTACCCTATATAATATATTTTGCGTATTTAACGAATGTTGAACTAGGAGTTATCAGGTATAATTTATATTGTCACAAACTTTGATTAATATACCTACTTTATGTTACCATACTTCAACATTAACACGTTCGCGACCACGCGTCACATATGTCTGACATAGTGATTTATTTAGTGAGCCCAACGTTACATATGTGTTACTATGATGATATTAACCGATATTTGGTGCATAGTATACTCTATTGTCGCATTGGCTAAATCAAAATGTCACATATACATGTATGGAATTTGTGCAAAATGCTTTGTTTGATTTATTCACTATGTTTTAACTGTTATATGAATAATATATCACGTGAAACCATTGAAAAAAAGGCATGGTCTACAGTGAAAGTATTTCAAATTCGACTGTGGTTACGAACACGATGAAATAAAGTTAACACATTGATTGTCACGGCGGTCACCGATGACCGGAGCTTCCAAATTACTTGAAAATAATTATAATTTCTCACATAACTAATATCGAATGAAAATGTTTAATAGCGTAAAACTAGATAACAGTATAACTTAAGCATTGCGACACCAAACAAGAAGTAACTGTTCTTTATCTTTCCTACAAAAGAAAAGCGACACATAAAACTATGAATTGGTAAAATAACAATTTGTTAAAATACAATAAGAAAACAATAAAGAACAATGTGGTAACACATATCGAATGTACCGTGCAGAACACCAGATACATCTCACGGAAGAAATGCCGATCTGAATGGTTGGAATGCAAAGAGGCACACCTATTGTCTTATGCATTTTCGACTCCAGCGTGCAATTTATCGTAGCTAATATATCAATAAGAAAAACATAGAGAAGAGAGGATAGAATGTAACAGAAAACATATCTAGGAAACAAAGTGAAATAGAAAGTATAACATTTATTTAAAAAAAATGTAAAATAAGGTGAAAGCATCAGTAACTAACTAGCTAAGAAAAGGTATCTGCATGAATAATAGTAAACGCTTGTTCCTTTATTACATAGAGAGACACGCATGAAAATACTGTTTGAACTTCTTGCATTATGTAACAAAGCGAACTTTTTAAAATAGTTATATTATCCAAATTTTATAGACGTTTTTGAAAATTCAATACTTAAAATTATAACAACATAAGCAATGAAAGATTCAGTCATAAAAACTTAAACGCTTAAGAATTTCCTACATCGTTTCTTGACAACAACGTTAAGGTAATTACAATACAGAGACATACAATCAACATCAATGAAATAAATCGTTAGTTTTTACGATAAACTATTTAATTCAGGTAAAGGTGTTTCAAAGTTGGATTGATAGATACTGCAGCATATCTATTGCGTCTTTGTCGAAAGATTATTATTTTTAAAAACCTTATTTTTCACGTTTTCCTGAAAAATGATCAACTACTGATATCAGGTCAATTACTGATGCCTTTACTTTAAAACAAAATTTTTTGAATGTGACATTGTTAGATTTATTGATAGAATATTCCTTTGTGTAAAATATGTCTCCAAAAGTTGCTGTTGGTTAAATGAGTGGAATTAATCCGCTGTTTGCGGAAAGTTTCTCAAGGATTTCCTCGTAAAACAAATGAATTAAATCAATTGTAAATAATTGTATTGATAAAACAACGGTTGAAAGTTAAATGAGGAAGTAATTAGAGTCTAAAGCGTTAATTAAGATCAGAAAAAGATATACAATACGCTGAAATTTGTGTTAAAATTATTAGGTGATTTTCAACTTCTATTTGGTAGAGTTGAACATTATTAAAATGAAATGTTATTCGATAGAAATAAATTTATATTGTATTTAGTAATGTTATTGCATATATTTGCAAATTGGTTCCGAAAAATATATTACCCCAAAATATTCGGTTCTTCGTCTATTTTATCTTATCTGGAAAGTAAATATGTTCGTGCACGGTTACTGAAATTTGTATTCTGAACTTACAATATGTCGACCATCATTACCAATGATCAGTTCTCGTACTTCACATGATTATTTTAGACGAAACCTGTTACTTTATACTTTATATTGACGTTTTAAATAATCAAATATTTAGTTAATATATAATTTAAAAACAATTTATTTCTATAAATAAGATTTCGAAATTTATTTGTATACACCCTTATTTCCAAATGAACTTATTTGTTATTTTTATGAAGCAGTAATTTGCATCGTTATTTCAATTTCAAAGTAATAATGCTCAACTATGCCTGAAAATTATTTTGTAATTCGATAAACTATGTATGATAAACAGTTTTATCGTTATATTCCTATCTAACCAGACAAATAACTGCCTACAAAATATACGTAAACAAGTTAGATGATACAATTTTTTTTGGTAGAAGCAGGGACGAAAGAAAAGACAGAAATTGACAAATTGATTAATCGGACAATAACGAATTGATATAAAGTTAAATAAACGAAAGGAAACGTAGAATTTTAAATCCAATTTTAAAACAGGTCGTTTGACCAGTTCGCGATATGATTAATGTTAAAACGTAATTAAAATGTCCATCTTCCGCGAGATGCATCGAGCAATTACCTGCGTTACCTTCGTTTTTTCGTCGTCGAAGCGAAAACAACTGATAATTGAGTAAGATGTAGTTTTCCAAGAATTTGTATTGTAATTTCTACGCGCCCATACATAGATACACTGCCAATCAAAAATTTGGAACCACTTGGTAGCTAACGTTACAAATTAAAAATTATGTATATTATAAATATATTTAAAAAATAACAAAAATTATATATCTTTATATTTGACCAAAACACACATGTCCATGTTCCTCTATCATACACAAAAGTTTTTTAATAAAAGTTG